CCCGGGGCGTGGCCAGCAGCCGCGCCCCTGCCGCAGGAAGCCGCCCAGGAGCCCCCCTCCGCCTTTTCTGTCCTGCTGTCCCCGCGCCCGGCTCAGACCCTGTGGCGTGGTGGGCGCCGAGGACAGGTGCTGTTCCCGCACGGCCAAGACAGCAGGAAGTGCACACAACTGGAGCGGCGTAGGCAGTGCGAGCAGACGCAGGCCCTGGCTGGGCGCGGGCGGGCGGAGGGCGGCGCGGCACCTTGCCCTGAAGACAGCCCCTGGCGCTCTCTTGCGCTGCACTGACTCGGAGACACCCTGCCCTGTTCCTCTGCCGGCCCTGGAGGGCGGAGGGCTGAAATGAACACTTGCCACTTTCATGTTCATGGCATCTTTTCTTGTAACTCGTTATGAGGATGCCTCCAACACAGATGTGCCCCAAACACCATCAGAAAACCAGGATGGCGACAACATGGTGACCAGCAGCATTTTGTCCTAATAGTTTAAGGCCGGGACAGGCAGATCCCAAAGGTTTTAACTGCTTTTGCTTTCTACTCTCTACCAAGGGCTTTTTGTTTATTCATTTTCCTTTTTATAGTCTTTGTAATGTAAAAAATATTTTTGATAAGCAGTTTCTGTTTCAGCATCATCGAGAAGATGGTTTGCCCCATGGGTTCTCAGCAAGAGAGCAGGTTTTACAGAGCTCAGAACCCACTTTCCCAGCGCACTAGAGCTGGCAGCAGTGCATCAGGCAGATGGGATGCTGAGTCCGGAAGACTGCCACGCCGTCTGCACCTTGACCCAGTTTCCCCTGAACGCAACCCAGATCCCTCTGCAGCACTTCCCTCCGGTTGTGCAGCCGTGTGAAGACATGGACAGTAAGCGTCACCGAGAGTTCTTTACTGAAACAGGATGAAATTGCTTGAGAAGAAATATTTTTAAATTGAATCCTTAAGATGTATGGATATACGATTGAGTTTCTGGCAAATTGGGGACAGTGCCATGGCAGAACGGCCAAGGAAGCACTGCTTCTGAGAGCATTTACTCGGAGTCCTGCTCTACATCCCGGCTCAATCCTTTCCAGAGGAATCAGGGCCACCTTCCAGCTCAGAGGCAGAATATCCTGTTTGTCAAAGAAGGCTCCCTCCTTCCCAAGGGTACAGCTTCAGAAGAGAGGGGCAGTGATCCTAACCCAGACCACAGACTCCCGTCTGGCAGCCACTCGAAGGCGCCGCTGGGGTGGTTATTAGGAAAGGTATAGTGGTACAGTAACCCGAGGGTCGTCCAGGGTGGGGACAGCTCAGAGCAAAGAAGGGCTAGAGTAAGCAAACCCTGCAGCTCCACTGGTCTGCCCAGAGCTGGGCCTGCCTCCAGCCCCTTCTCGATGCCTCCACAGGCTCTCTGCTCCTTCGCCAGAAGGACCTAAGTGGAGAGGGTCAGAATGGCAGAGTGCAAGGCTTACCCATCCCCACGGAGGACCTTCTCCTAGCCCTGCCTCCTCTTATTTCAGGGAGTGGGAGAGGTACCTACATATGACGGTTGTGAGTGCGTCTGGCCAAAGACCCTGCCCCTGCCCTCTGAAAAACACAGGCCAGCCTCTCACTCCCAGCTGCTTTCACTTTATGGGAGATAAAGGTCCTCGCCCTGGGACAGAGGGACACTATGAAGCCATGTCCTGGACTCAGCCTTGCCCCGGGGCCAACCACACTTCCCAGCTACCCAGAAGTGTCCATCACGAAGGTGTTAAAAAGTTGCTAAGTATACTAAGCCACACTTCTTGAGAGCTGCATAAGCCCTCTCCTGTTTGTATTGCCTCTCACATCTGTGCTTTCAATGACCCACACCCTTCAGTGGCACTGGTTTTAACGAAATCAACACACTGCAGTTAAGCTCTGCAGTATGGGCCTGAGCAGCAGCTCTGTGCAGAAGAGCAGGGAGGGGTGTTCAGGACAGGAGTTGTACCCACCTGGCAAGCACTGCTGCTTGCACGTCAGGAACGAACTTACTGGACTGCAGGACGTAGCACTGAGAAGGGAAAACTGGCCCAGTAAAGATTTGCAGTAAACTTTCATCAGGGTTTCCCACCGTGGGACGAGTGGCCAGGCCAGGATGTGACTCAGTGGTAGAGCACACACTCAGCATGGAAAACGTCCTGGTTCCATCCCCAGCGAGTGCACACACCCACACACACCCCTTTTGGCTATTCCAGGGAAGTGCTTATTCTACTGAGCCATCTGCCCAGCCCCCTTTTGGCTATTCCAGAAAACTAACACATAGACCACTACCTGGGAAGTTAGATCAGCTGAAACAAGGCATCTTGAGGAGGCATAGGGGCTCCCAGGGCACAGGTGCAGGGGCCAGCATCTGGCCCTGGAGAGGCCGGAAGAGGGGCCAAACAGACAAAGCTAGGGCTCATAGGGGCAGCCAGAGGGCCAGGGCCATACTTCCTGGGCAGGCAAGGCTGCTGGGGAGCGGCACTGAGCAGCAGAGGGGCAGGAGGGCAGGAGGGCACTGAGAAGGGCAGCCCAGGAGAGGACTTTCCCATTTAATGCAGATCTGCTGACAGGAAATGGAGATGAAAGGAGGAAGCCAGAGGCGGAGGTAGAAGCCTAGGTCTCCAGTCTTGGTGCTGATGGGGAGCCAGTGGGCCCAGGAGAGCCCCTACGAGGACTCTTAAGTCCTAGGTCCCTGGAGGGAGGCACAGAGACACACAACTCAGGCAGGTTCGCCAAAGGCAAGGAAGTCCTGGGGGCCATGTGTTAAGTGTAAGGAAGAGGATGAGCACATGTGTCCTGAATGCGGTTCTGGGTTCTAGGTATTGTAAGATCCAAGAAAAGATGAGCGAGATGATCAGGGGTAGGATGGCTACACTTGCTGGGAGGGCTCTGACTGCTTGCCAGGAAGAGCACAGCACACCAGAGCCCCAGCCATGTCTGGGAGGCCCTTCTGAGAGCATGGCCTTGGCTGGCCCCTGGGTGGTGCGGTGCACTCGCTTGTTACAGGGGTGAGGGGACAGAAGCCATGGAATCCCTGCAGGGTACCTGGATACCCAGGGCCTGAAATTTGAGGGGAAGCTGGGGGGGGAGGGATACAGGCCTCGCCAGGCTGCAGTGGGGGGCACATCAACTACAAGGCTAACGTTTGTGGGCTGGGGATGTAGCTCAGTGGTACAGCGCCTGCTTGACAAGCGCAAGGTCCTGAGTTCAATTCCCAGTACTAGTGAAAAGCAAAACAAGAAAACACACCAAAATTGCAACAACAACAAAGCTAACATTTGTGCCTCCAGATGTGGTTTTGGTGACCCAAGAAGAGTGGAGTCACCCCGTCTGTCCTATCAGGTTTTCCTCCTGCAACTTTTTACTGTGACTTGAGAAGGAAGAGACCCTGACAAAAGGACAGGGAGGCCTTTGAGCTTCCTGCAGGTTGAGTATTACATTTCAAGGTTTTAGGCTGCCAAGTCACTCAGGCCCTCAAGTGAGCCTGGCCCTCCCAGCACTTTCGGTTCACTCCGCCACTTCCCCACAAAACCCTGAAGCTCGAGGTAGCATGGACCCCACTCAGTGGCCTAAAGGAAGGATTTCTCACAAGCAGCAAGCTCTGCAGGGGACCTCATCCCTTAGGCTGCAGCTCCCATGGCCCCAGACTGTGATGCACACCTGGCTTGTTTCTCCAAACACACTCAGCTCCACTGTTGGGTAGCCACAGGTCCAGAAGTGTGATGTGTTGGTCACCTAGCACTCTGGCTTGACTTCCTGCATTTCTCACTGGTCAGCAGATCATCAAAAAAGGTAGAAAAGGTCTACCCACCTGTCAGTATGGGTGCTGGCAACTGTTGAGAGTTATAAAAAATTGCTCTGAGCTATTTTTTTGTAAATGTAACCGAACATAACATGGATTCTAGCTTTTGCATTGCATTTTTGCCTTGAGACAGGGTCTTGCTATGCAGTTCAGCCTAGCCTTGAACTCACTTTCTAGTCCAGGCTGGTCTCAAATTCACAATGATCCTCCTGCCTCAGCCTCCCGAATGCTGGGATTACAGGTGTGTGCCACCACACACAGGATGTATTCTAACTTTTTTTTTTTTAATTATCCTTTATCCACAGTTAGGTCCAAGTATTTTTACACCATGTGATAGAAGAGGACTTTTCTAATAATTGAGAGATACTGAACCAAGATATTTGTTTAAAACAGAGTGAGGACAGGTAGAGTAGAACATCTCAAGATGCTTCCTTCCTTCAGAGGAGCAAACTCCTCCTCCAGGAGGAAGGCCACTGGCTGCTGACCACACTGTGCTACCCCCTTGTATGATCCCTGCCACCCTGCAGAAAGGAGCACAGGAGACCATCTCCTGTCATCACCCACACCCAAGCCTGGCTGGCTGCCCAAGCTGAAGCAAGGGCTCTCTTTGCTGGTTCTTGGGCCAAAATCTAGTATTTTGACCAAAAAATGGGGAGCAGGATGGACTCAATAGGGGCGACATCTCTGTCCAAGAGAACTGGACCAATGTGCTTCCCAGCCAGAAGGGCCCCAGCCGAGAGATGGCAGTGGGTTGTGAGCACCCCGTCTCACAGAGACACCCTCTTCCTGTGCACAAGAAGGAATCAGCTCAGTTGAAGGCTACATGTGTGAGATTGCTTATGACCCTCAGTAGCTTTTATACTTGCAGAAAATTTAGTTATCCCTTTCATATTTGGGTCAAAGAGCCCCTCCTGTTCTGGGTTCCTACTAACTATGCACAACATCTCAGAGGACGGCATACAAAACTATTTTTCTAGTTAATAGCACAGGTACTTTAGGGTGGAAGAAGCTTGGAATATACTGAAATGTGGCAATTTACCTTCCACCTTGAGGCATGAAAGGGAAACTATGCACTTGATTTTAATTCACCATGGGATAGCTTGTTGCCAGAAAGAACATACGTCAACATTCTAAAAGCAATTAAGATCATTAGCTTGATTTCAGGGCTCGCTATAGGAGAACTCACCTTGTCCAGAACATGAACAAGAACCTGCCCTTACAACATGAGGTAATTTCTTGACAGTTGGATCTTCTCAACCCTTGGAGCTGTTCTGGACAGCACAGTTGCTAGGTCCACATGGTGATGTAAGTATAATTAACAGGTGAAATTGTATGGTATATGCCTGTCGGTCAGTAGTGTATACCTGTATGTGCAGAATTTGCTAATATTAACGATTTCAATAAAAACTACTGAAAAAGTGATGCTGGCCACATGGAGTACTGTGGGTTGTATTGTGGATAAGTGAGGACTGTCTTGGCTGACAGTGACAGAAAACCCAGCCCAAACTGGCTAAAGTTAAAGAGGAACAAGGTAGCTTCCAAAAGCTCAAGTGCCCAGGGTACAGCTGCATCAGAGGTGGTGATCTGGCCCCTCAGTGACACAGGACATATTGGCCACCTGAGCTTCCTCTCAGGACCCTCAGTGTGCCACGAGCCCCTCACTGCCCGCCCCCCCCCCCAGCTAGGCTGCTGCCCCAGGAGTGGACCAGCTCAGAGCGGCTGAGGCCAGTGGTGGTGAGCCCAGGGTGCGGGTGCCACAGCAGGCAGTCTGTATCACTGAGCGCTCTGAAAGGCTCACATCACTGGCCTAGACCATTGGCGGCTCACAGCCATCATCAGACCAGACACCGTGACCCCAAAGACGGCTACACGCACTGTTTCAGCCCTGGTTCCCTGGCAACCAGCCAGCCACTCAGGAAGTGGACACTGCCACAAAAGCAGCAAGTGAACGTCCAATGTGTGAAAACAGCTGGAGCAAGAAAGGCCAACACCTTAGCGCCACTCTCTCCCAGATAGCCAGTAGGAACATGCAGACCACTTCACTTGCCTGCATCTGTTTACCATTTCAAAGCAATAAAATATCGGCTGGGTATGGTGGCGCACACCTGTAATCCCAGTGCTGGGAGGCTGACAGGAGGATTGTGAGACCCTGCACCAAATAAATTTATATAGCACATCCAGAACTGGAACAACCACAGAGAAAGGAACAGATCAGAGGTTGGGAGAGGGAGAGATTAGGGGTGACTGAGTGACAGAGGTACAGCTTTTGTTTTTTTGTGGAACCAGGGAATGAACTCAGGCCCTTACGCTTGCCAGGCAAGCGCTTATTCTACTGAACCATCTCCCCGTCCCCCAGGATTCCTATTTGGACTAATGAAAAACTGCGGAATTAGATGGTGGCACTAGCTGCACAACCTGGTCATTAAAACTCCCTAAACTTGACACTTTAAATTTTAAGAAACGTGAATTTCTGAAAATAAAGAGAACAAAAAGCAGCAGGCTGAGCACACACCAAGCGTTCACCAGAGTCCTTCTCCAGGGTGGCCTCCCGCATCCCCGTCGCCCAAGGCGCGCGGGTGCACCGAGCGTGCCGCACCCTGACAGCCGTCGGGCTCAGGTCCCCGCGGGCCGGCCCTCGCGGCCTCCTCCGGGACCACACGGCGCTCGCCGGGCCGCGCGGCCACTTCCGGGGCACGCCCGAGGCCACACCGCACGGCACGGCTGCGCCGCCGTCTCCCCGTCCCCGTCGTCCAGAGGCGGGAGCACCACCCGAGGCGAGCTCGGAGGAGGAGCCGCTCGCGCCGCGCAGCGGAGGCGGAAGCCGGCGGGCCGAGCTGCGTACGGTCCCTCCGCACCCGCCCGCCCGCCCGCCC